CCTTTTTTTTTTTACACTTTCTATAGGTAATGTGTTCCTGTAGGAGACCCAGGAGGAGGGGGGAGTGTCCAAGAGTGTGTGTGGGTCAAGGAGAATGAGAATGGAGAGAGGGAAGGGGGGAATAGCGAGGAAAGAGGAAAGGGGTGGAGGTGTTGAGGATCTTGTGGACAGATTTTTTTTTCTTTTTTTGCCTTTTAAAATTTTATAAGGATAATATATATATGGGGAATTATATCGTGTTTTGCGTGTTATTTTGTTTATTTCGTATCGATTTTGGTGTTTGTATGTAGCTTTTGAGGAGAGTAAATAGAGAATTATATTTTTCCCACATTTCTTGCAATAGCGGCGAAAATTTTACGTCTTCCAAAATGGCATTTGTTCATTTTTATCCTTTTTCTCGTAGTTTATGGATGTGATTAGTGTTCGTGGATGTTTGCATATTAATATCAAATCCCTGAAGTTGATAGCATTAAAGATTTGATATATTTCTTCAAATGTAGGCCTATGTAGTTAACCTAGATGTAAAAATTCAAAATTATTGTTTTCTCTATTTTCATATCTTTTTTTGGCTTTGATAATATTATTTTGGTGTTGATAAGCTCAGTTGCCAAGAGTTTGAAAATTACTCTTATGTGTATTATTATTAAGTTGAAGTGAAATTTTGTTGTCAACAAATACATTAAACATTTATCATAATTTTCTGTATAAATATTCACAAGAATGAATGTGACAGTTGGACAGAAATGCAAAATGCAGTGAGAGATTTTTTTTTTCTTGTGAATAAAGTCAAAATAAGTGAAGGATTAACTGATATTTGGGAGAAAACTGAGTCAGCTGTCAAAGATTAAAGGAGAAAGTTGCATAGTAGAGATAATAAAGTCGGAAAAAAAGGTAGCTCTGCATGAATGATTCAGAAGCCGAGGGAGAATGTAGTGTAATGATGGTAAAATATTTTTGGTTAGACTAGTGGTTAAGTCAGTATAGAAATTACTTTGAAACCATGAGTTTTTATCCCATGAATTATATTGATTTCTATACAAATCTACTTGAAACAAGCTTTAATATGTAATGTCAGCATTTTGATCTAAATTTATATACAATCATAACTTTATCAAGCAACTCCTGAGGTCACTGTACCTGGTGCTCTGGCAAAGACAAACAAACCTCATCTCTATATATGACGGTATTCTAGCCATATAGATGTTATGCTGATTTGATAATAAGTCACTAGAGAGGTCTACAAGCTCTTATCTTAGTGAAGAATACTAGATAGACCTTTGATGACCTTTGACTGAGCACTGGTAGATGTGGAGGCAAGACTGATCAACAAGAGAGTCCAAGGCAGATACATTTCTGATTTCTTAGTATGTACTAATTCTTTAAAATTACTATATGATATTAGTTATGAATATTGATAAGGTACATGGTAAACCCTTTTATTTACAAGTTAGAGTCGTAATACATTAGAAATGAATATCTGAGCTTAATTTCATTATAGAATAGACAAACAACAAAAAGGACCAGCATTTTTTTTTTTTTTTTTTTTTTTTTTTTTTTTTTTTTTTTTTTTTTACATTATATGAGAACAATATGTATATTAGATGATAATGGAGATTAGTGCGGCTGTCTTGTATTGTAGTATTGTAGCTTTCATATACTTTGATTTGTTACCCTCCCTGTAGTACAGTGATGTGAATGAAGAAATATTTTTGAATTTGGAGTAATTTGAATGAAAATGAATTAACTTGTATATGAAAGCTGGGATAATTGCTGGTATTAAATTAATAAAAAATTATGACATTTTGGCGGATAAAAAGTGCTGACTTGCCACAGCGATTAGAATGGAATGGCTTTCATGTGATAGTTATCTGTGCTTGCAGTGATATCATTAACAAATTAACCACCGTTCTTGTTTTGTGACAGTGCAGTGAAATGAATAAAAAAGAAATCAAACTCATTTGAATCAGACTGACTATTTACATACTGTTGCTTGTAGATTTTGAAATATGTTCAGGAAAAGTGAAAACAGACATCAGATAATGAAAAGTGCTATATTGCCACTTGGAGCACAATGGAATGTTGCTTCGTTGTACTTGCTTAGACAAGATCAAATTTTTCATGATATGGGAATATGAAAGGAAATTTGGGAGGAAAAAAAAAAGCTGAATATTTTAAATAAGTTTTAACACATTAAAAAAATGTGAATATCCTGTAACAGAGAGATTTTCAATTGTTCTCTTCTTGTAGAAATATTGGTAATATTCCTATTGTGTGCTGTGCTGGCGCAGTGGTAACGTGCTGGTATAGCAACTTGCAGACCTGCGTTCAGTCCCATGCCCGGCCAGTGAATGGTAACCCCAGTCATTCCTTGCACACGGGTAGATTTGGGCAGAATAAAACAGACAGTATGTCACAGCAAAGAATATCCATTGTAACAAATGTAATTAAAACTAAATCTAAATCATTGATTTTGGGGGGGTGGGGGATGGAAAGGGAATTCCTCAAATGGCAGTGCTGATTGAAAAACCAGTCCGAGGAAGATGTCAAAGAGAAAGGAGTACCATGTAGAAGTGCAAAAGAGGATTAAAAAGACCATGAAAGTTTGTTTTGATACTAAAAGGCTCCATAGAATACATAACTCTTTTAACAGCCCAAGGTGCTTCAGTTTTTGGCACTGACAGTCTATATTAGAATCAATTGTCTTCACAGTATATCTTTCTTATGATGGTAGGCTTTGCTGGTGATTTTTAGTCAAGTACAGAACCAGCCCAAGCTCTCTCCTGCTTGAACATGCTTGGTGGATACCCAAAGCTCTTTGGATATGCCGTAACTGCATATGTCACTAGATTTATTTTAGTTGATGTCTTTATTTCTATAAATGTGATTAACTATATTGAAGTTGCTTTTACAAAAACTTTATCTTCTAAATTTTTTTTTAGTAAATCTACTGTAAAGAATTTTTGTAGAGTTGTTGCTGAGACGAATCAATCTCATGAAAGTGTGTGAGTAACAGTTACTCACTTAATTCTGTGACAACTTTAGCATATAAGAAAAGTTAATTAATTTCTTTATTAATTCCATGTGTTGTTTAGCTACCATGCAGTCCTGTCTATAGGCATGGAACTGAATTTTTTGCCTGAGTGCCTGTTTGGAATCTCTGAGGAAAAGGTAGTTAGAATTAGAATGCACAGAGAAACTTAAGATTTTGAAACCTTTTCATTTCTGGAGTTTGACATTGGTATGTAGATCTTTATTATTATCATTGTTTTATTGATGTTATCATTACTTTAGTGAGATTAACTCATTGGATCCAGATGCCTCACAGCTTGTGCAATAATCAAAGTCTGGTCACTAGACTTCAGACATTAAAAGGCAGTTTAGAATTCTGTACTGGTCTTATACTACCAAAGAAAGTGAATTTGAGATGGTATGAATAAGTACAGTATGTAAACAAGAAGTTTTATAGAAGTTTTGATGATAAAACACAAATTGCAGCTCAAACTTGTGAGATTAGATAAAGTAGAAAAAAATCATTGATAGAAATACTTTACAGAAAAACATTTTAAAAGCATTTAAAAGGGAAAATGTTTCAAGAAGTTAACTTAAATGTTAGCTTTGTGCATGACTCAAAGTGTGTGATATTACCTGTGTTTGACATATGCCCTGAAAGGTAAAACATATATTAATAATTCAAAGAGAAAATGATTTTTATCCTTCTAAAGGTTGAAATATTTGTAAAGCTGTGGGTCCCGGTCTTTCTTTGGTAATAGCACCTAAAATTCACCTAATGCTTTCTGTACCATCCCTTTACCTTTACAACAAAGACTATCTTCATCTTTACCATGAGTCACTGCTGCTCAAAAAAAATAAACATAGGTTACACATCTGAATGGGAAATATTAAACTTTTAGTTTATTTCATTTGGGATCTTGAAACCCCCATAGGTACTTTTGCAACACATAGTTTGAGAAAGATTGGTTTACAAGAAGGAAATGTATGTTGTTTTGAGGGAATTTCTTTTATCCATGGAGCCAAAAACATTGTTTCTGTGTTCCTTAACCCTTTTAAGTACTATGATATAGAATTTATTATTGTTGTCTTTTCTTATTCTCTCTGCCATCACTTTTCACTCTTGACTTTTCACAGGTTAAGATAGGATGGCACAGTTTGGCGGTGGGAAGGCGCCTCCACCTTGGCAACAGAGGTCCCAGACGACACCTCAGTTGCAGCCCTCTCTCTTGGGCCAGCACCCATCGGCCCCAAGTCAGCAGCTGGTCCTCGGAGCAGCACCTCAGCAGCCACAGTATGCCCCTGTTCAACAGAGCATGATCCAGCCCCCAGGGTTGGGAGGTCTCCAGACCCTGGGGCAACCCACCATCACCCAGCAGACCATCGGCCAGCCTACTACTGGGGGCAGCCTCATGGGGCAGCCCCCTATGACCAGCCAAGCCCTGCAGCCCCCCAGCCTGGTCAACCCCACACAGATCACCAATTCACAAATGCAACCGCAGATACAGCCTCAGATACAGCCACAGGTAAAGTACCTTGGGAGAATTGACAGGTGTCTAAAGGTCATTTTCATAAAGGTGCTATAGGGAATGATTTCTTTTATCTATTTTTTATTTATTTATTTATTTATTTATTTTTTCTTAGTGCTCAGATTGAAATCATAATACATTTTAAAGTACATTTTAATGAACAATGTATAAAAGAAAATAAGGTAGGATAAACAAATAGGTAAATAAATATAATAAAATAAATAAATAGATAAATAAATTAATAAATTAATAAATACAGGAGAAAGAGTTGGCACTATTTATGCAATAGCATGTAGAAGACCAGGCCTATTAACCAGTGGTGACCCAGTTCGTGTGCTGCCTACTCTAGTTTAGCTTCATTTATTTTGCTTTTTGGCAGATGTCTCTGCTAGTGCTCAGCCACCAAAGAATCAATAAGTAGGCTTTACATGACCTCACCTGATTCGCGCATTCCCTGAATTTTTTTAGAAAACGTTTTCCTCATGTGGTTCATATTGATACTGTTATTACTATTATAGATGTGATTATTCATAATGTTACTGACAATACTATTTGCTATAGAAATATTAAATAATCTTCCGTAAATCAAGGAAGTGGGTGAATTGATTTGATTGATAGAACTAGTATTTGACTCCTTGATGACCAAGCATTTATTAAGCCATGTAGGTAAAAACGAAATTAATCATTAGAATCACAGAGGGCATGGCATGTCAAGCTGTCATGGTGTCAGTGGATTAAAGATTTACAGGAAGGTACTCTGCCTACAGTATTCAGTCACATTTATGGTGCCATCATTTGTGTGGAGTGATAGATTTCTACTTGAAGACTAATATCACCTTATGCCAAGTTTACATATATTGAAAAATTTAATTTTCCCTTGAAAATATATATTTTAAGAATTCAGAAACATATAGCTTGAATAGTGAGCAAAATATTTGTAACAGATATTGACACCAGTACAACATTGAATATACGGAGAAGAAACTCTGGTTTATGGAATTTTTGCCAAGTTGATGCCATAAATGCTTGATTACTAGAAGTACTCTTGCACAACCAGCTGAAGTAACAAGTTCTTCCTCCAGGTGACAGCTGTGACGTACCCAGCTCCAAGAGCGTTGGCTCCTCCTGGTGCTTTCAACCCAGCAGCCACCCCAAGCAACATGGGTAACAACATTGCCACCAATATACAAACCAATATACAAAATAGTATAGCCAGCACTAACGCAGCGCAGCAACCACAGAAACAGAGAGTGTTCACGGGAACAATAACAAAGCTATGTGCTGATTTTGGCTTTGTAGATGAGGACGTCTTCTTTCAGACCAGGTGGGATAATTGAGACCCTAAGGGAATCATCTATTTTTCTTTTCTTTTCTTTTTTTTCTTTTTCTTTTTTTGTTAGAGATTTTACACTAATCCGTACTTAAAAAAGAAATCTTTTATGTAATTCTGAAATGTATATTCTCTATGGTTCAGTTCATTTTCTAACATTATGGTGTTTACAACAATACTGCATTTTTTGTAAGAATAATATTGCATTTTTTATCCAAGAAAAACATGATTTCATCATTTTTAATAATAAAAGGAAATGATAAGGATGGGATAAGAAATCATAAGAGAACTTTAACAAGGCAAAGAGAATACATATAAAGCAAACTCAGTATGCTCATACTTTTCTAATTTATCAAATTACCACAATGTTACAAGGTTTTCTTTGAAGTAAGATAAAATTTCACAATTGTGGGGGACAGTGTAGGTGGTCAAAAGTTCTCAGAAATGCTTGTATCATCTATTACCTTGAAAAGGTAACTTTTGGCTTCTTTTCGGAGTAGTGAAGTTCCCTTGATGCTCTATGTTTCATCTTTATGCTTCAAAATTTTCCTGAAATGTTCAATATTGATTGATTTAGCTTATGATCAAGTTCATATGATTTTGATCATCATCATTATCATCGGAAGTATTATTTATTTACCTCTCTCTTTCTAGTTGTGTAAAAGGCCAAGCTCCCAAAGTAGGAGACCGTGTGCTCGTAGAAGCTACCTATAACCCCAACATGCCTTTCAAGTGGAACGCCAATCGTGTCCAAGTCATTCCCGGACCAACAGGAACCCCTTCGCAGAACCAAAGCCGTACTGGCCCCCCAGCAAGAGAGATAAACAGTAGAGGGGGCTCATATAATGCTGTACCTCCCCCCAATTTTAGTAGTGGTAAGTTGTGGAAAGATTTTTATTTCTTTTTCTTGTATAAATTTGAATATTAGTAACTGGAAGAATAACCATGTGTTCTTGCAGATAGGTAAACTAGGAGAGATATTGAGGACATTGAAGTCATGGAATATTTATCAGAAAAATCTTCAGGATATCTTCTCTTATTTCATTGCAACATGCCTTTGCTTGGTAACTGTGACATACTTGGTGTTCTAGATACTTTTTTATGTAGTTTGTTTTATGTCATGTTGTGCTATTTATAGACCTGTTGTGAATAGCATAAGTTTCTAATTTATTGTGCATTATCTTTTATACTTGTCCATTAAGAATAAAGATATAGGTAAAAAAGTATAGAATAGTCAGTTATTGATTAGGAGATAAAGAATAATAGTTTATTAGCCCATTTCTAAGTTATACACAAAATTGATTGGGTTAATAGATTTAGCAATCCAGTCCTCTCTCCTCCTATATTGGTTCTTCGTATCCTTCATCTCTATGGTCTTACTTCTCTCTTCTATCAATGGTTATTATTATTATTATTATTATATATGCATTATTACTTCTGTTTCTTCAATTTCTCGTCTCATCTTTTTTACATTATCTTTATCACTTCTGTTTCTTTTCACCCTGTCTGTTTCTCATTTACTTCCTCCACTTATTTGTCCTTTTTTATAGTAAGAACGTGTTTTGATATAGATATACTGATCTTGATATAGTGAGGTGAGATCCAAGCACACATACGAAGAAAGTGCTGCATTCTCACACCAAAGTTTGCAAACCTTCAGCTTTTTCCATTCCTTTCTGCTACAACTTCCTAGTCAGGCTGATGAAGCAAACCGCGATTCCCGCAGAGAGCCAGGGAGCAAACTTTGGGCCTCGGGGAACAATCGGGCCACGGCCGAGATCTCCCAGGAGAGACAGAAGAGAAGAGCGCAGCAGAGCGTCAAGAGATGGAGAGCGTGATCGTAGCGAGAAAGACAAAGAGGAGAAGAGAGAAAACCGTAAACGCAGTAGGAGTAGAGGAAGATCTCGGTCGCCCCCCAGACGGAGGCTCAGGGTGGTTCCACGTTATAATGTACAAGTCCCCAAGATTCTATTACACATGTAAGATGTTAACCAATTTGTTTCTATTCCCCCCCCCCCAAGTATTAGCTATTCTTCTTTTTGGATTTAGCTGTAGGATTTGTTTTATTGTTTTATAGTCTTATGTGTTTTGATATATCTTGTAATAATTGAAGTAATAGTAGTTTTTTTTCTTTCTTTTTTTTGGACAACCCTAACTAACTGGTCAAAAATTGATTTTGAACCCAATGCAGATGGGCTGCTCATGGCAGTAAGTTAGCCAAAATATAGGCTCACAACCCACACACAGCCACATATGGGGTTGTGTATTTGTGTTGATTTTAGACATTGTTGTTAGTTCACCTTGAAGAATGTAGTGACAGTCACACAGCACACAAACACTATGTCACTGCCATGGCTTTACCTAAAAATTGACCTACCTGTCTGCTGAAAGTTAATGAAGCCCAGGGTCAAAGTCTGAAGTTCAAACTCATGACCAAGATGAAATTTAGATTACAACTCTTAGTATAGAATAATTTAGAGGAGCATACTTTAATTGGGGGAATTTTCAAAACACACCCATAAACCCACATGTGTGATGGGTGGTGATATTGTAGAAGTGAGTTTCAGTCTTAGAAGAGACCGCTAAATTTTGTCTGATAGGGAGCTCTATTCTTTACCTCCCTTTTGACATACCCTCGTCTTTACCATTTCAGGAAAGAAGCCAATGTTTTGGAGCTTAAGAAACGGTATAGCAACTTGTACATCCCATCTGATGTGTTCCTGGCTCGTCCTCTCTGGTCGGACACATTCCCGGCTTACAGGTCCTTCCAGTTCCCTCGGCCGGTATCCTTTCACATCATGAATAAGGAGGTAGAGCCCGTGCTGGAGAATGACGCTATCTATGATGCCCCAGATGCCAACCACAGTTTTGCAGCCAAGGTCTGTTCATTCACAAGTTTTGTGGGGAGGTTTTCTTCAGGGAGGTGTTGATGTGCTTTTTGTTTTGTGCTGGCAAATGCTGCTGCTGTGCTCTGCATGTTCTGTGGGAAGGTGATGCTGTGCTTTGTGCATTGTGGGTGGTCTTTGTTGTCTCAGATTGGGTATGGGTGACAACAGTGGGAGATGAGGTATGCCAGAATTGAAGTATTTATCTTCATGATCCTGGCATGTCTTGAGATTGTAGTGATACAGTTATAGTGGAGGCTGTTTCTTGAGCTCTACTCTTCATAAGGTTATGATATAATCAGCTTAACCTTTAGATTGTGCTTATTGTCAATTGATGATAGATACAAGATGCTGTCAGAATATCTATCAGTTATGTGAATAAAAGTGAAGAAAGTAGCAATTTATGCATATACAGGAACATTTAAGTAAAAATGGATGTTTGGTCAACAGGTTAAATATTTTTGTGATTCCACAGTTACAAAGGAGATAAAAGGGATGGTTAGAAATTAAGAAAATATTTAATTTCCTCAATTTATTTTGAAAAGTGTAACATCACGGTTTCATCAATGTGTTATGTGATTCACTTGTGGAAAAAATAAATTTTAGGAGAAAACATGTCCGTGAAAATCATGGAGTTTCATGAAAGAAGATTAAGACATGTGAAACTTTCCTTTATAGGTTTGTCAGTTGAAAGATACTAGTTGAGTCTATAACATAGGCTTCTGAATGGTTGAGTGGTGGGTTAACAAAACAAAGAAATATATATGCATAGATTTTGCAATAAATGTTATGAGAACTTTTATCCTATATTGTATTTGTTTATTGTCCATGATATACAGAATGTTCCAAAGTTTTCAAAGTAGCAGGTTATGTAGATCCAAGTAGGGGGCTACCCTGTGCCGGGCAATGTCTGGCAGCCGAGCGCCAAAGATGTAAGGTGAAGCGTTTCACTTGAAAAATAGAACCCCTCATGCATTTTCTATGCATATGAAGACAGTGTTTTTGAATGATGCAGAAAAGAAATAGATTTTTTCTTTATTGTCCTGCTAAAAGCACCCGGCGATCGAAAGGCCGACAGATGGTGAATTTTTGCCGTGTGCCGGCTACTTTTGAACATTCTGGATATATGTATTTATTCATTCTTCATTGTTTATTCGTCTCTCCCCCACAGGTTATGCTGATGGCAGTACCGGCAATTGAGGATATCTTCCGGAGATCTTGTGCCCTTAGCGAGGACCCAAGTGACA